AAATAAATAATTCTAACTAATATGACACTAAATTACAATCCAATGTCAAATGTCTTTTTATCAGATTAATCACTTTCACACGTCGTCAAACCAAAACTCTCTCTCTTCAACTTGAAGAGCCGAAAAATTTGGCATGGAACTGCAATTGCTTTCTCTCGCCCAAAAATTTCTGCAGAAAATTGGGACCATCTTTTTCACGCGTTATGCTTGCCAAAAAAATTTCCAAAAAATAACGGCAGCATGATTTTCCCGTGAAGCACCATGGCAGACCACGCTTCAGTCCTCCCGTCGGTGTCTGAAAAGCTCCGTCTTGTTTTCCATTCAACCAGAAAGTACCAGAAAACGCAGTTGCGCCTCCAACCAGCTGCTCTTGTCGTTGACGGTACCTGCTCGCAGCCCCAGCCCCACGCTCAGCCCAGCCTACCGACCCCGCGCAACATCTTCTATGGCCAAAATATGTCCGTTCAGGCGACCTTTGATATGAAACGTCCAGAACGATGTTGCCGAGTCCATCCGCCTTCAGCAGCCTTGCACCAAAATTCCTGTCAGGTCCTCTAGACCACCAGCCAGGCCCAAGCAAACTAACCGCTTGGAGCCCACACATCCAACAACCATGAAAACCGGCCAGAACCTTCTCCGTTCGGTTCGCCCGTGAAGCTCAAAATGTTTGAATTTTCATACGAAATAAAGCCAACAAATACGAATGGATAAATGTTTGAATTTATCTATAATTTTTTTCTCAAATTACCAGCCTGAAACCACCTTTGCAATCCCAGTCCATCTATTTCCAAAAATCTTCTGCGCCTGCACAAAGATTCGCCAACTACATCATATTTGCAATGAACACACAATTTTCATTTTCTCATCAATTTTCATCACTTCCCATTTTTCAGAAAACTATGTGGTATGCATTTTATAATTGCAACAGTGACATCAATAAAGAGAACTAAACTAAACTAAACAGATCACTTGGAAACCTTAAGATACAAAGGTTATATCACCTGAAATGCTTAGCGATGACATCCTTTGACGCCATTTTTTTTTTTCGGCAAAACTTTCATCCAATGGTCCTCTAAGAAATTGGTACCTTGTATCCGGCCGAAAAACTCTCAGTGATGGCGTCTGTAAGCAGGCTCTGAAAACAGGCTGTATCACTACAAAAACGAACCACAACCCCAATAGAATTAAAAAAAAAAATACTCAAAAAATTCCAACTTCTCATCGGACCCAGTTATTAAGCTCAACTGAAAATTTTCTTCTTCAAGCGGTTTCGAGACAGTGAAATGAAGCCCATCAAACCTAAAAAGAAAACTCAAAAATAAAAAGGAAAAAAAAATATGATTTTTTGTACACATATAACGGTGGTTTTTTGGTGTATAAAAGAGAACCAAACCTCAACTTACATTCTTATTTGCAATAAGAAACGAAAGTTAGTCTTCAAACGCAAGCCCAATTGAAAAATCCCCAAAACATAAAACCTCAACTTACATAATCCTCATGGACTCAATCTCCGTGTCGACGCCTCGAATATTCACGCGCAGGCCACCGGAGCTTCTCGAGAGCAACGTGGCGGGGGAAGGGGGCGCGTGAAAGCCACTGTCGTCGCTGGCCACTGAGCTGATGGTGAATATATCTGTGTACCAAAGGCAGATGATATATTTGCATGTCGATATATCTGTGTATGAATTTTTATCTGTGTATGTTGATATATCTGTGTATGAATTGTTTTATCTGTGTATGAATTTTTATATACAAATATTTGACAAAAATATTTTATCAAATATTTTTATCTGTGATTTTAGTTAGGAATGATTTTGGAATGATAATTAAGATGTATACAAATATTTGACAAAAATGTCGATATATGCATCGGGCCCAATTTCGGGCTTTTATTGCTGACGTGGAGATTTTCTGCTGGCATGGCAATTTCTCGCTGATATGGCTGTTGATTTTCTGCTGGCATGGCAATTTCTCGCTGACATGGCTGCTGATATGGTGCTGACATTGGGAAAAAAATTAGGCTTCATTGCAAATAAAACCATGACATTTTCGAAAATTGCAATTATATGCATCACTTTTAAACTTGACAAATATATAAAACCATGACCTTTTCGGCATGGCAATTTCTCACTGACATGGCTGCTGATATGGTGCTGACATTGAGATAAAAATTAGGCTTAATTGCAAATAAAACCATGACCTTTTCGAAAATTGCAATTATATGCATCACTTTTAAACTTGACAAATATATAAAACCATGACCTTTTCGAAAAATAAAACAATGCTAGGATTCAAACCTGTGCCCTTATGGTTTTAAATTAGAACCATTACCACTACATCAATACAACTTGTATGTCTAATTTCATAGCGTTTAATATATATAGACATATTGTATAAACAATCAACTTAAAATTAAAAGATAATATAAATTTTATTTAATTATATTAATAAGATATAAAGTTATAATAATTAAAATATAATAAATAAATAATACATATTAATTGAAAAAAATAAAATAAAGTAAGATAAAATTTATCATACTAGAGTACATTAAAATTAAACTAAATTTTTATTTATTAAAATAAAATAAGAAATAAGATAATATAAGATAATAAAGTATAAAAAATAGTAAAGTAAAATAAAATAAATAAAATAATAAATCAAATAACTTATTATGNAAAAATAAGGCCTTACATTCACCAAAATAAATTCCAAATTGTTTTTTTCAAAAACTATCGCCAGCAGATAAGTGATTTGTAGAATCTTTGCTGCTGCTAGAGGCACCTCCATGGCCTGTCAGCGTCCTTCGTCCAGACGAAGTAGCATACCTTGAAGATGTCCATCGCACTACCGTCGAGTTGGGATTAAACTGGGTGATCGGCTCTGCCTGCACTTACGGATCGATCCGTTCCTTGAGCAGCGCTTCAGCATCTTGGCATTCCCTCTTTCTGCGGATAAGTTATTCGATTTAATTTAAATTCACTCTAGTATAATAAATATTATATTATTTTATTTTCGTTTATTTTTTCATTTAATATTTATAATTTATTTTATTATATTTTAATTATTATAAATTTATATCTTATTAATATTATTAAATATAATTTACATTATCTTTTAAATTTTATTTGCTTATAACTACGTTATGTCTATATATATTAAATGCTATTAAATTAGACATACAAGTGTATTGGTGTAGTGGTAATGGTACCAATTTAAAACCACAAGGGCACAGGTTCATGCAATTTTTAAAAAGGTCATGGTTTTATTTGCAATTAAGCCTATTTTTTATCCCCATGTCAGCGCCATATCAGCAGCCATGTCTCCACGTCGACAATAAAAGTCCGAAATTGGGCCTGATGCATACAATTGCAAAAAATTGTAAAAGTGGTGTATATATTTGTCAAGTTTAAAAGTGATGCATATAATTGCAATTTTTGAAAAGGTCATAGTTTATTTGCAATTAAGCCTAAAATTTATGCCTCAGATGCATATATATATATATATATAGAGAGAGAGAGAGAGAGAGAGAGAGAGAGAGAGAGAGAGAGACTTTTTATCCGCAAACAACCTTAATAGAACCAATCATGAGTTAGACTAATGAAATGAACTCAAGGATATTGCACATTATTGTTATTTTATTGCACTTCGTGATTTTACGGTGTTCAGGCTGTGCTGTTTCAGGTTTGAGTTTTATGTCGGTTTTAGGTTATGCCGGATAAATTTATCGTGGCTTGTCCTGTTGTTATCTTTCTTTTTTCTCTTCAGATGTATAAATAGAGAGAGAGAGAGAGAGAGACTTTTTATATGGAAACGACCTTAATAGAACCAATCATGAGTTAGACTAATGAAATAAACTCAAGGGTTTTGCACATTGATGTTATCTTATTGCACTTCGTGATTTTACAATGTTCAGGTTGTGCTGTTTCATGTTTGAGGTTATGTCGATTTCAAATTATGCCGGCTAAATTTATCGTGGCTTGCCCTGTTGTTATCTTTCTTTTTTCTCTTCCTTTCTCTTT